AGTTCTCTCGCATTCCTGAAGGAAGTATCACAAAATCCACTTTTAGTTCAGCTGAATGGAGTTGCTGTCATGTTAAGCAGTTTAAAACTATGAAATATTCCCCAGGTACTTGCATAAGTTCTTTTCAATTTGAGATTATATAAGCATGTTATGCTTTTTGAACAACATTTTGCTAAGCTTCACAATTTGAATTGCTCTTGACTCCCTTTAATAGAAACTCTTCTGGTGATGTTAAGTATTAGGTACAGGTTTCTAACTTTTGTCCCAGGAGGTAAGCAGGAATTTTTTGCACCTGTTGCTAGTTGAAAAATCAATCAGAAATAAAGCCATAGAATTCTGTAGCTAAAGTATATATAAGATACCTACCCCTGTCCCTTCCTTTTATACATGAGATAATTGAGAGCTAGAGAGATGAAATATCTCTAAAATGTTATTATATACCAAAGGGAAAATTACTCTCCTTACAGAAATTTAGCTTATACATAATTTTTTACATCTGTGAAAAATTTAACATAAAATTCTTTATCACTGAAAAAAACTTTTATTTCCACTGTTCTTTGGGATTCATATTCATGTACATGATCTCTTTTATTTGAGGGAGAGAAATATCTCTCTAGTGTGAGAACTACATTATGCAGCTTCCAGAGCATGATGGTTTTATTTCAAACTCCATTTCAGATGCTACATTTCTATAATAGAAATAGCAGGCTCCCCCTATTTTCTCCAAAACCAAGAGGGAGAAACAAAAACACCAACATGCCACTGAAACAATTTATTGTTTTAAGTATATGGATGAATAGATCCTTGTAGATTGATAGTTTCTGTGTTTTTCACTGTTAAAATTCCTTTGAGATGATAGTTAATGTCTGTGCCATTCACAACTCTGTCTCTCTTATGTGAGCTTGAAGTATCTAGCACTAAGAAAGAAGAGTCTATGTATTATAGACTTGTGGAAAAATAAAAATTGATAGATATTTCATTTAAAAATCTCAACTTTATGTGTTTCCCACTCCTGTTAATAGTTTGCATAATTTTCTTGGCAGACTGTATAGATGCACCTGCTAAATTTAGGATTTCTTTCTGCCTTTTTTTTTTCTTTCATTTTTCTTCAAATTGCTTACTCTTTCTCACGACTTAAACTTCGATTTCTATGCTTATAATTCCAGAAATATGATCCTCCTGCCATGACTTCCCCCAAACACCAGTTTCTGTCTCTAAATGTATTCTCAACACTTCAACTTGGTAGACCTTATGCAATCTCAATTTCACATATCTAAATATGAACTTGTCTTCCCCTTATCTACTGTCTGTCACTGTTACTATCTCCTTTTTCCCCAGTCATCCATATTCAGCACATAAGAACCATCATTTATTCAACCCTACCCTTTATCTTCTATCTGTTTCCTTTTAGTGCCTTTCCTGGGTCTTTCTTCCTTTCCCCTGTCAGTGGTCCACTCCTTATTCTGTATCATGACACAAACCAAGCTGCAGTGATTCAGGAGTGGATGGGAAGACCAAAGTAAAGATGAGAATGTAGAGGATTAGTAGCAAAGGGAAACCCACCTCTTGGAGAGTAATTTTTTAATTTGCTATAGTATTTTAATTTATTTTCCACTGTGGATGGGAAAAATATTGGATATTTTGTAAGCCAAGGAAGAGTAGTGAGAAGAGAAAGACTAAAAGAAAAAAGAGGATAATGAATAGAACAAACCTCTCAATTTTCACCTAATCTAGATCTTGATAAAAATCCACATTTTTTATTTGATTTCATTTTATTGTTGATATTATAACAGATGTCCTCCAAGTTTCCCCCTTTTTTCCTCTCCTTCCAGCCCCTTCCCAACCCCAGGCCTTCACTACACTGTTGTCTGTGTCCGTTGGTTATGCTTGTATGTATATGAGTTCTTAAGTTATTCTCTTCCCATTCCCTCTATTATCCACCCTTCCCCTGCCTGAGATATGTCAGTCTGTTCCATGCCTCCATGTCTCTGATTCCTTTTTGTTCATAGTTTATTATGTTCATTAGATTCCACTTACAAGTGAGATCATGTGATATTGTCTTTCTCTGACTGGCTTATTTCACTCAACATAATACTCTCCAGGTCCATCCATGCTGTTGCAAAGGATAAGAAATTATCCTTTTTTAAAGCTACGTAGTATTCCATTGTGTTAATGTACCACACCTTTTTTATGTACTCATCTACTGATGGGCACTCCAGATTTTAGATATTGTAAATAATGCTGCTATGAACATAGGGATGTATATATTATTTCTGATTCATGTTTTGGGCTTCTTAGGATATATTCCTAGAAGTAGGATTGCTGGACCAAACGGTTGTTCCTTTTTTTTTTTTTTTTTTTTAGTAAATTTCACTCTCAATTCCATAGTGGCTGCACCAATCTGCATTCCCACCAGCAGTATACTAGGGTTTCCTTTTCTATTATTGTTGTTGTTGTTGTTATTATTATTATTATTATTATTATTGATATCATTAGTTCCTTTTTTAATTTTTTGTCTGCTTTTTTTTTCTTTATTGATTAAGGTATTACATATGTGCCCTTATCCCCTCATTACCCCCCTCCATTCCCCCTCTCATGCCCTCACCCCACTATTGTCTGTGTCCATTGGTTAGGCTTATATGCATGCATACAAGTCTTTTTGTTGATCTCTCCTCTTTACCCCCACCCTCCCCTACCTTCCCTATGAGGTTGATGGTCTACTCTAATCAATGCTTCTTTGTCTCTGGACCTGTTTTTGTTCATCAGTTTATGTTATTCATTGTATTTCATAAATGAGTGAGATCATGTAATATTTATCTTTCTCTGACTTACTTATTTCGCTTAGCATAATGCTCTTCAGTTTCATCCATGCTGTTGCAAATGGTAAGAATTCCTTCTTTTTACCACATATTTCATTGTATAGATGTACCACAGTTTTTTAATCCACTCATCTGCTGATGGGCACTTAGGCTGTTTCCAGATCTTAGCTATTATAAATTGTGCTGCTATGAACATAAGGGTGCATATATTCTTTTTGATTGGTGTTTCTAGTTTCTTGGGATATATTCCTAAAAGTGAGATCACTGGGTCAAATGGGAGTTCCATTTTTAGTTTTTGAGGAAACTCCATACTGTTCTCCACAGTGGCTGCACCGATCTGTATTCCTACCAGCAGTGCACAAGGGTTTCTTTTTCTCCAAATCGTCACCAGGATTTGTTGATGATAGCAATTCTGACAGGTGTGAGGTGATATCTCAGAGGAATATACAAAAAGGGAAGGAAGGAAGGAAGGAAGGAAGGAAGGAAGGAAGGAAGGAAGGAAGGAAGGGAGGGAGGGAGGGAGGGAGGGAGGGAGGGAGGGAGGGAGGGAGGGAGGAGGGAGGGAGGGAAAGAAGAAAGAAAAAGAAAGAAAGGAAAGGAAGGGAAGGGAAGGAAAGGAAAGGGAAGGGAAGGGAAGGGAAAGAGAGAAAGAAAGAAAGAAGAATATACCATGTTCATGGATTAAAAGAATTGATATCATTGAAATGTCTATACTACCCAAATCTAAACATTCAATGTAATTTCTATTAAAATACCAATGGCATATTTCACAGATTTAGAACACATATTGCAAAAATTGAGATAGAACCAAAAAAAGACCCCAAATAGCCACATCAATGTGAGAAAGAACAAAGTTGGAGGGATCACAATACCAGATGTGTGGTACCTTTTTTGTCCACAATTGTCAATTTGGTTTACTATCCAAGAAAACATCATTCATCTCTGATAATCTAATTTCCACTCAACCATTTATATGTAACACGAATTAGGTTATCAATGCCCAATGCATATATTAGAACTAATTTCTTTAATTAGTATATTGAGTTACAATGCAATTTCTCATATTAGCAGAGCTGTAATTAATGCAATTCATAATAACAGTCATTTATACTTAAAGTGAATGTGCTAAAAGAGCTGCTTTTCCTAAGAAACTCAAAACACCAACCAGTGTTTATAACACCCTTAAGTTTATAACAGCACAATTTACAGTAACTAAGATCTGGAAACAGCCCAGATGTCCATCGGTACATGAGGGAATAAAAAAGCATGAGTGGAATACTATGAAGCTATAAAAAAGAAGGATCTCTTACCCTTTGCAACAGCATGGACACTGACAATAGTGTGGTGAAGGCCTGGGGTGGGGGTGGGGGTGGGGGTGGGGTGGAATGAAGGAGGGATATTTGTAATACTTTCAAAAAGAAAGATTTATTTATTTTTTTAAGTATGAAAGAATCCAGTCTAAAGATTACAACAACATGGAGAAGGGCAAATCTGAGCATGCTGTGAAACGGGCTCAGAGCCCTGGTTGGCCTGTTCCTGAAGCCCAACCTACCTCTAGAATTTTGTTTCTACATCAATAAATTGCTCAAATCACTTTTTAAGATTCTTTTGTTTATTTTTATTTTTTTGTTAATCCTCACCTGAGGATATTTTTTCATTGACTTTTAGAGAGAGTGGAAGGAAAGGGGAGAGACAGAGAAAAACATTGATGTGAGACACATCAATTGGTTGCCTCTTACACATGTCCCAACTGGGGCTCAGGGATTGAGCCTGCAACTAGGATATATGCCCTTTACCAGAATTAAACTCAGTCCATGAGCTGAAACTGTAGCCACTGAGCCAAACCAGCTAGAGCCAAAATTAATAAAATAAAATAAAATAAAATAACTGCTTTTAAAGATACACAGTTCTCTCATGAGGAAAAATCTTCCTCACCTCTTTCTATCACATTTGAACCAAGAGCTTGGTAGTCAAAAAGTAATTAATGTTTTTCTACATCTGTGACTAATGAATGTGTAAACCTCAGTAAGAGCACAGTTACACTGTAGACTGGGAGATCGTTTCCTGTTCTGTATGTTATACCAGTAGTGGTTGATATCAAGAGCCTGAAAATATTTTTACTGGCTACAGTTTGTCTCTTTAATATTCTCAATATGTGTGTGATTTGTATGTTTCTTTCAGTCAAGAGAATCCATCCCATTAAATGACCTAAAGTCAGAAGTTTCTCCCCGGATTTCAGCAGAGGACCTGATTGACTTGTGTGAGCTCACAGTGACGGGCCACTTCAAAACACCCACCAAGAAGACCAAGTCCAGTAAACCGAAGCTCCTGGTGGTTGACATCCGGAATAGCGAAGAGTATCCTTTGTGCATGCGGTTTTAGAGGGTGGTCCTGCCTTATTCATATTGCATCCTTTCCATTTACAGGGCTTGTGGTAAAAACAATGAACGTATCTGGGATTCCTCTGAATTCCAATAGCTAAGTAACTCTCAAACCGGATGCCAGAGTAGACTTGCATAATGTTTCATAAGGTAATATTACATACCAGAGGCCCAAAAATGCTTTCCAAACAAAACCAGAATGTTGGGGTATTTTGTTAGTTTTTGTGTTTCTCTGGTGTGTATTGTTCTTGGGGAATTTTAATCCTTCTTGCTGTGGCTAAAATTTTAGCAAAGATGAGAAGTATTTACCTGGTCTAACTCATAGGCTAGAGAGAGTTTGCCAGACCTCATCATTAAATTTATTATAATTTTCAAAATATTGACTTATAGAGAACATGTTAAAGTATTTTTCACTGACATTAAATGTTCTATAATTTCTGATGATTTTGCTTGGCATTAAAGTATAAACAGGTATAAAATAATAACAATTCAATCTTTCTCCTTATTTTTTCATCTAGTAGATTTTCAAATTTGTTTTTGAACACAGCAACTCCCTTTTCAAATAAAGTTTTTTTGAAACTCAATATATAAAATATAAATGAAGACTTTTATAATTAATACTAGAAGTCCAGTGTACGAATTCGTCTATCAGTGGGGTCCCTCGGCCTAGTCTGTGGGATCAGGCCGAAACCGGCTCTCCAACATCCCCCAAGGGGTTCTGGATTGCAAAGGGCATGGCCAGGCTGAGGGGCCCCACCGGTACATGATCAAGGCCAGGGAGGGATGCAGGAAGTTGGCCAACCTGGGAAGGACCACAGGGCATATCTGGCCCATCTAGTTCAGTCCCGATGATCAGCCATACCCCAGCAACAAGCTAACCTACCTGCCATTTGGAGCATCTGCCCCCAGTGGTCAATGTATGTCATAGCAGGCTGTTGAACGATCTTAGCATATCATTAGCATATTGCACTTTGATTGTTTGAACAGACGACTGGACACTTAGCATATTGGGCTTTTTATTATATAGGATTCTTTATAAATTAACATTTATAGCATTTCCTAACTATAAATGAGGCTAATATGTGAGTGTTAGCAGGTTAGTGGTTTTTCTCATATTCTAAAATTGTCATGTAAATTTTCATGTGAATATTTTTAATCAATTTTAAAATGAATTCAAACTATACATTTACAGAACTTCTGAAGCAAGTCATAGAGTCTTTTATTACTGAAAATATAATCTGAGAGGCCACTAATTCAAATTATATATCCCCACCCCTTTTTGAAAAGTTACTACTTTCTATTTTCCCAAAACTGTGAGTTCCCTGAGTATGGTGAGAGTATAAATGCTCATGTATCTGATTGTTTAGGCTTCATGGATACTGGAAGTTCTTTGGCAGAGTAGGTGAGTGCACTGACTTCCAAAACAAGCATTAATTTCAATTTGACTGGTCATGGACCCCTGATCTATTCATTACTTCAAAGGCTTAAAATACTTTCAATTCTTTAGCTTATGGTTCTTTTGGTTGAAACTTTAGTTATAGCTTTTAATAAAATTATCAAAAAACATAGCATTCTAGCATATGCTTTGTTTTCATTTTAAAGACTATTACTAAAATAATTAATCCAATAAAATGGATTTCCAAGTGGCAAAATGGGAGTTGGGAAAAAACAAATTTGATGCGGTAGTCTAAGTTCAAGATAAATGAGTGTCTGAAATAGGCCAGTAAGTGGTAATGGGAATAGAGAGGCGAGAGGATGGGATTTATTAATGCAACAGGATGTTAGATATTGCCACTGGTGAGATGTCAAAAATGAAGTTTTAGGCTGATATGGGAGATGGTGATGTCATTCAAAGAAAGCAGCAATAGATTTAGAAAGGAAAAATGATGATATCTAAAGATGTAATTTTTACATCAGTTAATGCTATTTAGTTACATTATATATGAGAAAGGCATGATTTTAATTCCATATGCCTTGTACCTGTTGATATTCTAAAGGTGTAACCTTTACTTTGGGCTGGCTCTATTTAACTAATTGTAATTAGTTAACATAGCAACAAACAAGTTAAAAATGCTGGTATGCTTTGGATAGAGATATACTGAGTGGCCAGATTATTATGATCTCTGAACACATAATAATCTGACCACTCAGTGTATGTCCTATATAACAAAAGGCTAATATGCAAATTGTCCCCTCACCCAGGAGCTCAACCAGCAGGCAGGTTGGCCAATCATCCATGGCCCCGACCCCTGCCCAGGCTGGCTGGACCCTACCCATGCACAAATTCATGCACTGGGCCTCTAAATATATATATATATAAACAGCTTACTGCAATAGCATAAAGTCTCCAATTACCAGAGGAAAAATGTTTGCAGATCACAGAGTCTATCAGAGTAGTAAACAGCTCTATTTAAAAACACCTGACCAGATGACTGCTATAATAGCTAGATGTTTTTATAGCTACTGTTATTCCATAGTCACCAATTTTCTAAAATGTTGCTGAACAAGTTGTATAGAAGACATTCAAATGTGGCATTAGTTTGTAGAGCTTAGTATAGTCTAATCATTGTATTTTATCTTTATTTCTGATTTTCAAAGAAGAGAACTTGATTGGCTCAGCCTGCATCAGATAACCCTTCACCCTTTCTCTCCCTACTGTGCTGTCAGTCATGATTGTGGCAGGATCATCTGATACAAACGTGAGAGCTGAGGCTCACCCTTTCATCAGGGTCAGTAGTTGACGCCCTTTCAGCAAGAGAATGGGGGACAGGCATCAAGCATGTCTGCTGTCGTATTTGACCAAGATACGTTTGTATTGTTTTTGCTACTATAAAAACACTGCATATATATATATATATATATATATATATATATATGAAAACTTATATATATATATATATGTTTTCATTGTTGATAAGGGCTAAAGGCTTTTTTATAAATAAAATATATGGCAACTGATTCAGTTTGGTAGATGTATATACATTTGCAAATGATATTTGAGTCATTAGGTTCTTTATGTTATCAAAAATTTTCATTTTAAGGTATGTTCTTACTGAAAATAAAGGTACTATCAGACTAGTGACATGTTGAGAACAAAGTCATTACTGGTCATGAAAACTGAAGTTCAACCGAAGGACTTGTATACATGCATATAAGTACAACCATGGACACAAAACTCTGGGGAGGGTGGTTATGTATGGGGGGGGGGGGTGCGGGCGATGGTAAAATATGTACACAGACAATAATTTAATTTTTTAAAAAAAGTAAAAAAAAAAAACCTGAAGTTGAGAACATTGGATAATTGTAAATGTTTGAGAGAGTAGTACTGATGAAAACCAAGGAAGATCTGCCAATGGTCATAAATTCTTTCCTTTCTAGAAGACTCTAAACAATGAGATACTAATGTTTATTCTATCTTTCTCTTCATTTTCAGAACTCTTTATAGTCCTTATTAATGCCAAATGTTCTTCTTTAAAGGAAAAATGAGGAAGAAGCATCTGACCTAAATATTTTAAATATAAAGTATGTGGTCAGTCTACACCATCTTTTTTGGGAATAGGAGTCTCAAATTTCTTCTGCCTTCATTTAATTTCTTTACCTAAATAACTTTTATTAATTCTTCAAATTTTAATTTGGCCATCACTTACTTTCTCAGTGAAAACTTTCCCTGTTCTCTCCAAATGGACATATCCTACCAAGGCATCATATATATCTCCTTTAGACCTATTTTTATAGTTGTTTTATTTATATGAATAGTTATTAGATGGATAATAATATTTAAGAATATCTTTATAGACTCTATATAAATAATTATCTTTTTAGTTGTACTTTTTTAATTGTATTTTTTACTTACTAAGGAGGGAATATATTTTTTCTTTAAAATATTAAGGTATTTCTAAATATTTTAAGCAAATATATGCTTTTCATTCCGAAAATAAAATTTATAGTCAATGATGAAATCATCAGAACCCTGCCAAAGCACAAATATAATAGGCATCAGTCCATTTAGAGACCATAAAATTGAAGAGTGGAAATGTCAGCTAAATTTACTTGAGAAGTAAACTAACAACAGAACTGTTTCTAACCAGTGCTGTTGACCTTAACAATTCTAAATAGAGTTCCATTTAGCAATCGCTTACTCAAAGTAGATAGGCTTTTGCAGTATCAAATTATATCTGGGAATATCTGCTTGGCTATATTACTTTCAGAGCTCAGGAGTAATCATAGTAGTAGTAATGAACTTAAAGGCATGATTATTATGTGGCCCATGCGATTGCCTTGATTTGCTGCATCCTGACCACTTTCACAATGCTTCATTTAATCAGGAAATTCTTTACATCTTTGACTAGTCATCTTCCTTTCTCTTTTTCATTACATTTTCACATTTAACTTTTATTTCCCCTTGGAGGATAAAATACTCATGTAAGCATGGAAGATGTTTAGAACTGCCAAAAGTTCATAAATAAAGCCAATGAATCATCAAAATAGTAATTAGTAGCAATTTATTGTGCACACCAAAGAGTTTTCAAACCAAGAACACTCAGACAAAAACATCAAATACTGAGGTTCAGAGTCTATTGTCATAATGCAGCTTATACAGTGTGGAGGCAATAACTGTCTATTGGTCACAGTATTCAAATTTTCTTTAATGAAAGGGAATTGGAATAGTTTAACTTTGGGTTACTTCCTATCAATTTGGGGGAACAAATTGAGTTCACTTATGGTTTTCAGAGACATAGGCAAGAAGTGAACCAGGTCAAGTTAGTGTCACTTGTCTTGGAAAATAAGCTAAATTAAGTATACTTGTATGACTAAACCAAACCAGTTTTGTCCACTCAGGGAATTTTCAAGTCTGGTCTCTGTGTTTGATTTTTACGATACTGTCTTCTGGGAATCAGTTACCTGTCTCTCTCTCTCTCTCTCTCTCTCTCTCTCTCTCTCTCTCTCTCTCTCTCTCTCTCTGTCTCTCTCAAATCTGCACACAAGTGTTTTCCTTATACTTTCCTTCTCAGTTTTATTCGGGGTCACATTTCAGGCAGCATCAACATTCCATTCAGCACTGCATTCACCTCGGAAGGGGAACTTACCCAGGGCCCTCACACCTCTGTGCTCCAAAGCTTCAAAGGAAAGGTCATTGTCATCGTGGGGAATTCTGCAAAGTACACAGCAGAGGTAAGTGTACTCAGAAATGTCATATGTGCAGAATGAGTTATTTACCTGCCTAGAACAGATTGTCTAAAAGTTTATTTCTTCAAGAGTAGATCGCATATCAAGTGAACTTTGAAGATCTACCTATATTCTTACATAGAAGAGTTTGTCAGCCTTTCCCAGTAAAAGGATTCAAGCTTTCTTCCTCAGTGTGCAACATCAGGTTCAGTAGTAAGTTTAGAAAGATCCAAATGATAACCTAATAGCCTAAAGTGTTCTTCAAAGAAAAAATTACTTTTCAAAATTGCAAAGAAGTAGCCTCAATTCTTTTGAATGGAGAAAAACATAGGAGCTTGATAAGAGAGTCAAGAAAACTCTTGGTAGACTTGGTTGGATTTTCAGGTTTGTTACTATAGGCTCAAAGATATCAACTTTAGAGAGGAGTGAGTGAAACAATAAAATGACTTCCCTCTTCCCTGGCTATGTTCTAAACAAACTGAAAAACAAAGAATGTGAAGGTCAAAGATATCACCTTCATTTTTTATTAAATGTATTAGAATGACATTGGTTAATATTGGTTAATATATAATAAATTATATAGGTTTCGTGTATACAGTTCTATAATATGTCATCTGTAGTTACATTGTGGTAGTAAAGGGTAAAGGGGGTCAAATATATTGTATGATGACAGAGGAGATTTAATTTTAGGTAGTAATAAAAAATAAAAAACACCTTTATAAAAGACAAGTTGAAAAATATAGTATAATATGAGAGCCAAATGAGCCTACTCACAAAGCCTCCAGAATTAGAGAACACATCTAGATGTAGGCAACACTAAACCAGGACAGCCCTTTTTCTAAAGGGAAGGAAGAGTCTGAAAAGTCAAAGAGGTGGTTTTCTCCCTGCAGGCAGCTTATTCCCAAGAGAAAGAGAGGCAGGACTGAGCCTTCCCAGATTTACCAATCTCTCCACTTCCCAGAGCAGAGAAAATAGACAAAAAGAAAGGTTAATAATATCGATATACTTAGAAAATTTTTTTCCTCAAAGGAATTAGCAGTAGAGCTACAATTTCCCCCTCTAAATGTACATTCCTTTATGTCTGAATAAACAGAATAATCCAGAAATGTGAACACTGGAAATGTAATCAGATGAGAACTTTAATACTTTTGGACGTAGGCCATTTTTATCTCACAAGTACAGGGCTAATGGTAATATTGAGTTTTGACACTAAATGAAAGTCATCCTTCAAGTTTCATTAATGATTAGTAAAAAATCATGAATCTCTCACCCCTATTTTATATATCCAGTGTCTGACAGGGAAAAATCTAAACACACTTATTTCAGAAAAACTCCATATAATTAATGATTAATGTGCAATTTTAAGTAAACGAAAACATCTTTTAATTTAGAAATAAAGACATGGTATCTAAATTATTTTTATGTGATTTGTTAGCTAATAGTTAATTTTATTTTCCAGTGCTATTATTTACATATATCTGAATTTAAGTACTATTTTATGTATGATGACAATATAAAAGTTCTAGAGTTTGGAAGTAACACCAACAAAATGGCAGAGTAGGCAGAGCTATCCTATTTCTTTGTAGAAACATTAGCAAATAGAAACTGTACTATGTTGAATAAAAGTTGCAAAAGCTGGCCTTCTTGTCTTCTTCCTAACCTTTCAGCTTTTCACCATTGAGTATTGTTAGTTGGACTTTTTCATATATAGCTTTTATCATGTAAAAAATTTTTTTCCTCATGTTGGTTTATTGAATATTTTATCAAGAAGTGTTGTTGAATTTTTTCAAATGCCTTTTCTGCATCAACTGAGATGATTATGAGTTTTTGTTCTCTTCTTTCTATGAATGTGGTATACTATACTGATTGATTTTCATATGTTCAACTATTGCATTCCTACCATAAATTTCAGTTAGTCATGATGTATAATCCTTTTAATATTCTCCTAAATTCAGATTGCTAGTATTTTTTTTTTGAGAATTTTTGCATCAGTATTTACTGGGGGTACTTGTCTGAAGCCCTCTGGGTCTGTCTGGCTTTGGTATTAGTATTATGCTGGCCTCATAGCATGAGGAAGTCTTCCCACCTCTTATGTGTGTTGCAAGAGTTTGAAAGGATTGCTGTTAATTCAAGCCAGAGCAATTAGGCAAGAAAAAATAAATAAAAGATATCAAAGTTGGAATATCTGTTCATTTCTCAGAACTATGGTAAAAGGTAACACAAACTGGGTAGCTTAAAAAAACAGAAATTTATTCTCTCATAGTTTTGAAATCCCAGGAGAGGGCAAAAAAGGAGGACTACAAAGATCTCATTTTAGTTAGGGTCCCATGTAGATTCTTCTCTATGCCATAATTAAATCCTGTTAAAGATCACTTGTCAGTTAATATCTAATTCACATTATCCAACAGGTTAAATAAAGCAGTGAGTTATTAGATAATAAAGCATATTCAGATATTTTGTGAACAATGTTAAGTCCGCATCAAGGAAAGTCTGACAGTCTCATGCAGGTGAAGTGGAGTCCCGAGTCTAATGGTGTGCGGAAGGCGGGATCAGGTTTTGTGCCGATCCTTGCTGCTGCCTGGCCAAGTTTAACTGAACAAGGCAAACAAATATAGACCTCATCTGTTGGTAGGGTTGATGGGAGCAGGAAGACCTCTGTGTCAAAACAAGAGTAGAGCCAATTCAAGCTCTGTATCACATTTTAAATGGAAAATGTGTCAAGGACTTACTCTTGTCTCATTGAGTTTTTAAAACTCAGATGAGAAACTGCATCTTTGATTGTTAAACTAGCATTACATTCCCTGGGTATAGAGGGAACACATGCCAGCATGATATGTACAGAAAGCCCCACGAAAGATAATTCTTACAAAACTGAAATGTGCTGAATTAATCTAGCCCGTATCTAACTATGAGGAAGGCAATATTATCTTGGCTTGACAAAACACCATAATGAACCCGCCTCCTTCCTAGAAGTAAATTATAATGTTTAGCAAGAATGAGAACTTAGCACGATGGCATACGGTAACGTGGTATTGAGTTATTTTTTCTCCCCCATGGATCCATCTCCAGAGCTAGTGATAGGTCTCAGACTGGAAAATGGCCAACCACATGGACCAGCACAGAATGCAACTCCAATTGGTGTTTCTCCACCTTTATTGAGTCTTTAAGAAAAAATCATAAACATCATATTGCTGTGTTGGTCACAGAAACTCACAAGACTTTAAAAATAATTGCTCTCTATATAAGATTATATTTTTTTTGGTTATCTGACTACTAAGATGTCTTCCTTGCCTGTACTTGTCTTGTCAATCCTTTGGGAAATATTAGGCACAGCTAATTTTACCCTTAAAATGTTATATTCTTGGCATTAAATCAACACTTTTTTTGTCATCTAAAGAAATATTCATCTGACAACATAAAAGTCAATGCCAAGTAATGTCATGTGTGTTATTACTCTTTCCTTCAAAACAAAGGAAAGCAACCCTTCACCTCCACCCCCCAAAAAAAGAAAAGAACAAAACATATATTTCTGATTAACATTTGATTCCAAAACCTAGATAAAAGAAAGGTTTTGTGGAGATTCTGTGACTAAACAGTGTGAGTGGCTGGTGCTTTCTACACATGGCATGTAAGGATTAAATTTAAAATATGGCATCGTTTTCAACTGAAAATCTTCAGATTTACAATAAAGCATGCCTTTGAAGCTACTTTAAAAATAAGATAATAGTCCAGTTGTGTTTCTTTATACTCCTCTAAGGGCCAAGGTAATTTAGTTTGGATTTTAGGTTGGAAGTTGTCTATACAGCAGTAATAGGAGGCTGCCACCTTGCAGTCCCACCCCATTACTTCCCGAATCCCTTAACCAAGCTAAATCATGTTTTATGATCCCTTTTTCTCTCTCTAGCCCTGTCTGCTGTCTCTCTTTGCTCAAGCGCTTCCTCTAGCTTTTGGTCCTGAGCATCAGAGACAATCGTAATCCGGTATGTGCTCAAAGGGGACCAAGTGTCTCTGAAAACCAATCAATCGTGTGTGTTGTCTCTACAGTAAACTTCTCTGCCTCCAGACAGTATCTACCTAGTTCTTCAGATCAATGTGATATTTTGTGTGAGGACTTTTTCCTGTCAGAAAATGTATTAGGCCTCTTTATAATGGTACCTTCTGCATTTTGATAAGGAATAGGAAGTGAATCTCCTTTATGAGTTCCAGATATGCAAGGAATTCTTTCCCCGTCTTGTTAGACCTATAATCACCAGCCATGGTTAAACTTGGCTTTCTTCCTGACTTTTTCCTTGTCTTCTTGTCAGCAAACGTTTTTGTCTGTGGGTTTATGTCAGATTATAAGGAAACCTTTTACCTATTAGTGCAATTTGAGCACACTGGACATCATATGAGGCTTTATAGTACAAATTATCCTATATAACTGCATTTGTTAAGTGAGGGGGGTTAACTTTTAAAAGACCCATGGACTAAATTAAGAACTGCCCCGTAGGTCCCTATTCTCATAGTTTTCAAATATTATGTGAATAAAAGGCAAGATAGGAGTTGTTATAAAGAGGACTTTAAAACACCTAATCCTGACTTTGGTTGTCTGTTTTTTAACTTGTTTACTAAATTTATTTTGTGAACAAGAATTTTTTAAAAAGACAGAGGGAGGTCATTTCCAATTCCCTGGAAAAACTGCCAAGTCATCATGTGAATGCTGTGGTCTCTGGCACCTATATTCATGACCCATCAGAGGATGAAAGTTATGTTGTCTCATTATGTGTTATTCCACACACCCACCCTGCCCTCCACAGCCCACCATTTAATTAATTACTCCTTACCGCAGGAATGTTTGTGGCTGAATAAAAACTAACCATAGTCGCCCTCCCGCTTGACCCTACAGAGGTTGGAACTTGGCTGTGATCCATCGTAGCCGTAACTGTTTTGAATCTGAGTTTTTATTATATACCGTATTTTTCGGACCATAAGACTCACTTTTTTCCCCCCAGAAGTGGGGGGGAAAA